GCGGTGAGAGAGAGACTTTTTCCCGGGGCTGCTGAGGTTCCAAATAAAGGAATCATTGCTTTAACTACAGAGGATCTGTCGTGTTTGGGGAGCTGGGTCAGATCACGTATTTAGACGGAAAATGCTCGCGTTCTGTTTCTGCGTCTTCCTGATCGAACATCCTCCTGGGTTAGCAAGAGCTGACAACGTTGTGTGGAATTTGGATAGGGCACCTTTAGAAAACAGACAGCAGATGGGGAACCCAAACAGTGAGCCATGTTGTCTCTTTCCTTTTCGAAAGCACAACCTGTGAGTTTTGGAACAGATGCAGCGGTAACTGGCTGTGTGAGAAGGGGGGAGGCCTGGCAAACGGTTGTCTTCGAGTTGGTGGCATTTTTCTCCCAGTTGCAAAGTTTCCACTCCATCCCCACTCCTGGCCAACGCAGCCCCTTAAACCTGCTGGGATCAATTGTGGTCTTAAGTTGAGGTTGAATACCAGGACTGGCGCAGTGGTTAGAATGAAGTATAGCAGGCTNGATAGATAGATAGATAGATAGATAGATAGATAGATAGATAGATAGATAGACAGATTTTATAACTATAACTACTGCGCATGCACACATTGTGCGCATCAAGCATGCGTGCGCCCAAAGTACGTGCCCGCCCAAAGCGTGTCCCTGAGCGAACTGGCAGTAAAAGAAGCTGGAACCCACCCCTGATATAGATATAGATATGGAAACCATTTATGGACTTTCTACGCGTTAAATATAATAACAGAGGGTTAAGCTGTTGACTGTTTTTTTCTTCTTTCTTCATATATACCCTGTTTTCCCCAAAATAAGACCCAGCCAGAAAATAAGCCCTGGGATGATTTTTTCAGGATGCTCGTAATATAAGCCCTACCCCCAAAATAAGCTCCAGTTAAGATTGTCAGCTGGACGGACACATTGAGTGCCTCATTTCCCCGAAAATAAGACTTAATCCATCTTTTTGAGAAAAAGTTAATATAAGACCAGTCTTATTTTCAGGGAAACACACACATATACACAAACACACACACACAAAGAAAGAAGCAAAAACAGTCAATAGGTTAACCGTCCGTTATTATACTTAACGAGTAGAAAGTCCAGGAACGGTTTCCAGCCTCTTATAAAGCTGTCTAATCCATTATCTCTAATCAAAGCAGTAAACTTTCATTGCCCTTTCGATTCAGTCTGTTTCAAATTCCGTTTTTTTCCGGCGTCTCATTCCCTTCCCAACGTTTGGCGAGTACGATCATCGCAGGTGTCCCCACGAGAAAGGGATTGCACCGCCAAACTGTTTTATCAATCGGGCTCGTCCATCATACCTAAAAAGAAAAGATCCGGGTTTCGTTCATCGTTGTATCTTAAATTTGAGTTTGAGTTTGAAGTTTATTTATATGCCGCCCTTTTCCCTGGGGGGACTCAGGGCGGCTTACAACTCGAAAAGGGAGGGGGGGAAAACAAACATTTAACACGTAAGACAATACATCATTAAAAACACAACATTCATACCATTCGGGCGGGTTACAGTCTTTAGCCCCAGGCCTGACGGGACAGCCAGGTTTTAAGGGCTGTGCGGAAGGTCTGGAGGGTGGTAAGGGTTCGAATCTCCACGGGGAGTTCGTTCCAGAGGGTCGGAGCAGCCACCGAGAAGGCTCTCCTCCGCGTAGTTGCCAGTCGACATTGACCGGCAGATGGGACTCGGAGGAGGCCTAATCTATGGGATCTAATTGGTCGAGTGGAGGTAATTGGCAGTAGGCGGTGTCTCAAGTTCCCAGATATTCTCCGCGTTGTCATCGTTCTGTTTTATCCGGTATGTTTTCACATAATTTGCAGGGCCAACTACATATGATAAAACGAACTTGGATTTTTTTAAAATTACATTTCCAGCACTTGTTAAAAATCCCTTTATACATTTTTGCTATTTGATCTGCCGATCAAGCACCAAAAATACTTCGTTTTATTAAAAGATTCTTTCAAACGCTAATGTAATGTAAATTTTAGTCCATTGGTCTGTATGTTCTCCCGTTTACATAGCGCTGTATTCCAGGTTGTCCTCAACTTACGACTGCAGTTGAGCAGAATTTATGTCGCTAAGCAAGACACTTGT